TATCTTTGCAACTCCTGAAGCTTGCTACATTGTCAGATGTCTGTGCCATGATTAATCGCTTCTTCTTCATGTAGATGCAAGTCCTGCTGGATTAACCAGGAATAATGATCCAACAAGACGTCCAGAGCTAGAAGCTGGTACAAACGGAAGAAATTCAACAACATGCCCTTTTGTGTAACCAAATCCAGGGACAGCAGTGTGGTGGGGCTGTGTGTCTATGGGGTGCATTTTTCTTAGAACCCCTAGAGGCAGAGGAGCCTCAAAACACATCCAAACCAGTGGGATTCACTTGTGGTCAGAGATTCCTGGGGTCTTTGCTCTCAGTGAGTCAATATTCACTCTGCCACCAAGATAGATTAATTCAGCCTGGTCAGTGTCATCCAGTCACAAGAGCAGAGCTCACCAGGTATGTCAGTTACTGATGTATCCTGAAGTGTTGAAACTAGGGAAGTTCCAGATTGGCTGTCTCGACTTTAGGAAGTGGTTGGCATGGTGAGTGAGTGTTGGACCTTTGAAGCTCCTTCACCTCATCTGGTGATCTGTTGTCAAGTTCACCTTGTGAGTTGAGCATTGTCCATGATTACTTGTTTGCAATTGGAGCGTTCTTTCTACAAGCTAGTGGTCAGTGTCTCATAACCACAGTAACTGGCTGTTCTTGCTTCCGAGCAGGTACCAGCACTGAAGGGAACACCGCAGGGCATTCTGGGAACAATCTCCTGGGTTCCAAAGTGGCCTTATTCACAGGAATCACATCAGGATGCATCATCTTCATCGTCATCATCATTACCTTGGTGGTACTGCTGCTCAAGTACCACAGGAGGCACCGCAAACACTCTCCACAGCACAGTACCACACCCAAGCAAGGTGGCAACAACTCTGGCTGGGAACCCAGTGAAGTTATCATACCGCTAAGGACTGCAGATAATGTCTTCCACCCACACTATGAGAAGGTCAGTGGGGACTATGGTGATCCAGTGTACATCATGCAGGAGATGCCCCCACAGAATCCTGGCAACATTTACTACAAGGTCTGAGGCCTGGGACCTTCGCCTCGCAAGGGAACTCTCACCTTGTTGTGGGTGCAGGGACTGAGCCTGGCTCTGGGGGCGGAATGCCTCCTGGAAGAGCCTGGAGCAGGAGACTTTTGTAGGCTGTAGTTTTTCAGCCTTGGGGAGCCACAGACCCTCCCTGGAAGCCGGAAGACTGCTAAGAAATCCCCACTTGAACTGCGGTGTCCCTGTGCGGACCTCTATGCTATGCACCCAGCCAGGCACTCAGGCCTCTGCAGATCCCATGGAGGACACGGTGGGCTATGGGTGATGCAGCAGTACCTTAGGACAAAGTTGCACCTCTGCCTCTGTGTTTCCTGCCATGCACACTGGACTTGTCCCTCAGACCTTGGGTAACCTAAGTAAGATTTTCCAAGATCTGTAGCATTTAGTCCTCACTCCTTCTGTTTCCAGGACTCTGCAACACCTCCCCAGACCCTTCACTCCACATCCTGAATCATTCAGGGACACTCACCACGGGGCCTTGGCCCCATCCTTTACACCAAGATGAGATTAAATGGGTATTATGTACAGAATTCTGCTTTCCTGGAGGCTTGGCTGGGTTGCCTGGGAGGGGTGGCCAAGTGAGGAAGGTGCTGGCTACCACCACAGGTGGAGCATAGTGGGGAAAGCAAGAAGGAAACAATAGATAGTGCTTTGATTTTGCTGAGAGGAAAGAGGAAAGTGGGAGACTACAGACTTTGGTGAGTGGTGGTGAGCTCACTATCACAGGTATGCAACTAGGAATCAAAGTCCCTCTCCTGAAGTGGAACCAAGGGGCCATTGCTTCATGTTCTCTTTTGACATCATCAATTGCTGATTCTCCTGCAGGATGACTTTGATGCTATGGGATTTCTGCCATTTTGCCAGCACTGGCATGGCCCTTGGATCCACCACTCCATTTGAACTACTCACGCAGCTCATATTGTCTTTTGTTACAAATCTTACAGATGGGGGTGCTTCCAGGTATTTAGGCCCACATTCTATTTTAAGGCTGTATATTCGGTTTTCATAAATTGATCTTGGAGGCCCAATTATCATCCCTGTCCATCTTGTAAGTGTCATTTCCTCGTCACCCTCTAGACCCCGGCTAACTGTGCCATCACCTACTCCTTTCTGTCCTTCCAACTCTTCCAACGGTCGGAAATTTCGAGGGACTTTTACACCAGAGCCTGTGGTGGCTGTCAACTTGCTTGCCAATTGTTTTCTCTTAACTCGAGTTCCCGATATCTTGAGGGATTCTGTGATCCCAGAAAGAAATAAATCTTCCTTGCTAAATGCTTGTCCCATTGTTCACCTTTTGCACATAGGTAGTGTTCATCTACTGAAAGTCCCAAGTGCTGGGTAGGCTTCTGGGTCTTCCTCCAACCAAGGCATATAATTAACCTTGTAATAGATATCTTAATGCATGGAGGGGCCAGTCACTCTGATGAGCACTGAAATTCCCATATTCC